AAGTTATGTGGGTGCATATATATTTGGGTCATGACATAAATGTGCTTTTTATTGAATGTCTGGAAAATGCTGGGCCAGAGCACCCTTTACTGGGCAGTCCGTGGCCAAACACACACTCACTGAACTATGTATGGTAGCTCCCCTCCCCCTTACCTGTGATTTCAGTTACTCATGGTCAAGGGTGGTCCAGAAGTGGATGTTCCTCCTTCTGACAAGTCAGAAGGTCAACAGCAGCACAACAAACGCTACGTCACTCCCCTCGCGTCATCTCATCACGTGGGCCTTTTATCATCTCACATCATCACGAGAGTGATGTACTGAGTACGGTACAAATAAAATATTTTGAGACAGAGACACCACATCCACACAACCTTTATTACAGTATATTGTTATAATTGTTCTATTTCGTTGTTATTTATTTTATTATTTTTTAAAGATTTTATTTATTTATTTGACCGAGAGATACACAACAAGAGAGGGAACACAAGCAGGGGGAGTGGGAGAGGGAGAAACAGGCTTCCCACTGAGCAGGGAGCCAGATGCAGGGCTCGATCCCAGGACCCCTGGATCATGACCTGAGTCGAAGGCAGACGCTTAACCAACTAAGCCACCCAGGAGCCCCTCATTGTTAGTTATTGTTGCTAATCTCTTACTTTGCCTAATTTATAAATTAAAATTTATCCTAAGTATGTGTGTAGGAAAAAAAAACACACTGTCTCTGGTTTCTGGTGTCCATGGGGGGGGGGGGTCCTGAGAATATACCCCAGTGGAGAAAGGGGGACTACTGTATTTTGTTCTCTAATGAACTGATATAAGCGTACACCTGTGTACTTTAACTACACACATACATGCTCAGTGCATTGGCAGGACATACAGTATTCCTGCGGATCTGAAGCTTCAATCAGAAACCTGCTCTAGCTCATGATTTGGGGGGTTGGTGGCATGTAGATGGTAGCTTGTCCAAATGGAAGCTTTAGCCAGAGACAAATTCATCTGGAGAAAGTGTGTGAATGAGCAAAGAGAAGAGGGTAGAATCTGGGGAACCATTTACCTTAAAGGCAGGGGTATTGGAAAAGGAGCTCTCACACAGACGAAGACGTGGGAGGGAAACCAGGAGGATGTTGGCATGGGAGCCAAAAGAGGAGAGAGTTTGAAAAGCTAGGAGAGGTTCAAGATTGTCACATGTGGCAGGAGGTCAGGTTAGGTAAGAGCTGGAAGGCACATGTTGAATTGAGCAACATGGAGTTCCTTGGTAACTTTGGTTGGTGCCTTCAGTCTGTGGTGGCCGCTGGACTGTGGGGGACTGAATGGTGACCGGGGAAGACAGACACAAGGGGGGAATGGTCAGCTCTTCCAAAATGTTTGGCAATGAAATGGGGAGGGCAATAAGGTATCGGTCAGATGGGGGATAACGTGCTCCTCCAGAGACAAATTTGGCCCTAGTGTTACAGAAAGACAAAATATAAGCTAGGCTTATAAGAAGGTGTAGGACATTTAGCCTCTGTTAGAAGGGATGCGATGAAGCTCTGGATTTGCACCCCCAACCCCCATCCTCTCTGAACAGTCGGGTAAGAACTTCTGGTAATTGTGGAGACAAAATTGTAGAATGGTGACAATGACTGCTGTTGCTCTGGTTATTTATACAAGCAGTGGTCAAGTTTATTTGGGAATTATGATTCCAAATTGTAATGCACAATACAATCAAAATCCCAGAGTTTGGAGGAGGAAAAGAAAAAGAGGATGAAACGGTAGCCAAAAGAAAAATGACATTGGTAGGCTATCAACATTAGCGCTCTCACTGCATAAGGAATAATGAAATAATAGACTGTATTCTGAAAACAGAAAATGCCGTGGGTAACAGAATCCAACAGGACAGACTGAATTTCTTCTATTTTTACGATGAAAACCAGACTTGAAATTACTTTTGATTTGTCTTTTGGCTTTACCACACTTTTGCGAGAATTCAGATGCAGGAAGCTTATCGCTGACATTCACTAGTCAAGATAAGATTTCTCTGTTCAGGTTCCTGGGCCCTGGGGACTATCATTATCACAGCCTCAACGTAGGTTACCAGGTGTTGCATAATTATTGCCACATCTAGTCTGTAAGGAGTAAGGAAATTTGCATCTGAGCATAAATATTTGTATTTAATCTTTGCTTCCCTTGGGGAGTGAAGAAAACTGGGACCCCTGATAAAGTCATCTTATTTAACAAACTTTGGGCATAAAGATCATTTTCAGAGATGAAGGAACTATATATAATTCCTAAAAGAAACATTCTCCAAATCAGAGAGCAATTTAAGAAAGTGTGAAGCTATGAAGAAAAGATATTGATGAATCTTCCTTAGGTTGCTTTCACAGTGGTGAGTAACTGCCTTAAGGAAAAAGCTCATCTCCTGTGTTCTAGAACATTCTCAGGCCATTCAAGTCACTAAAAACCATTCATTGTTTTTGATTAACCAGCATGTGAAAAGTTTTGTCTAAAAGGTTTAGAAATGAAAGTGCTTGCCTTGAACAAAAATGAATAGTCTTGAAGATGAGAAATATTGCTGGTTTTGCTGAATATAGTCATCTATGTAAAGGGTCTCTGGCCTGTGAATAAGCCCCGTACTCCCAAATATTTTGAAACATGGAATTAAAGTGTGCGTGTATGTATTTGTGTGCATGTGTGTGTGTGTGTATCTGTCTGTGTGTGTCTGTGTGGTGGGGAATTCCCTCCAAGTGTAGATCATGTCCTGGGTGGGGCAAGTGGGTTTACAGGAAAAGGAACTTCCATGTTAGTTCAACTCCTGATTGTAAGTCAAGGTGACTCATTTGGGCCACCGAAGGTCGGTGTATGTGAGGGAAGACACTGACTGACTCCTCACTGGCTATTTTCCTACAAGTGAAATGCCGAAAACCCCAAGTTTCTTCTTACATATCTCTTAGTACCTGTCATTTTTGAAGTCGTAAGAGAAAGCTGAGTTTTAAGCACAAAGGAAAAAAGGATCCTACACAGTGAGAAAAAAAAAATTGACACAAGAATTTCTCAGAAAGAACTTAGTGAATTTTTACAAACTCCTTGAAGTTGTTCTTGAATGACTGAACTCATTGTCCAGAGACTCAAAGGAGCTGGAATTGGTTGGAATTTTCCACTCTTTGCCATCCTCCTGGATCATAGGCACAATTTTTCAAAATATTGGTAGAGCCTAGTCCTAGTGCCAGAATGAGGGGCAGATTTTATGTAGTTTCTCTTTCACTAACTGTAACTTTAGCTGGTTTTGTTTTGATTGAAATTGTCCTGGTTGGTTCAGCCGGTTAAAGCTAGTGCTAGCTGACTTGGACCAGGGCCAGATGGCTGGAGACAGACAAGCTTATTCTGTCATTGATCACCACTGTCTTCCAACCTTTTCCTCCCGGCCAGCAGAGGTGCTCACCCTCTTGGCTACCCACTCAGAATTTAGAACAACCTCTGATGCCCCAGGCAGGGGGGTGTGGAGGTGATGTGGAAAACAGTCATCAGTCTCTAGGGGCCAATCATGGTGGTTGTCTGTGAAAAGTTGGGTGGGGAACCTAACTTGAGGACAGCTGGCTTCTGCCATGGGGCAGAAAGGTTTCAGCCTTGACCCCCTCTAATGGTGATAGGACTCCAGGGCCCCCACACCAGTGATCCCATTTCACACAATCCCCCACTAGATCCTTTCCTTTCACTCTTCAGGGCCTGCCTTGTCCTGCTGATGAACTTCACGCATAGAACTTTTGGGGAAAAATCCCTTCTCAGGCTCTTGGTGAAAACCTTAAAGGGACAGAACAAAGGTGATCATAAATCTGGGTAGAGCAGACCTACACACCAGCTGACTGCAGAGCCAGAAAAGCTGGGGAGACAATTTCTGGTTACGTCTTTTACTTCCCTTTGCAGCTGTTGGTCTAGAATCCCACAGGGGGATACCCTAGAAAATGCTCAGAAGAAATCAACTTTATCTACTTTCTTTCCGAGAAACTTTTTTGAGTAGCTGCTGGTAAACCTCACCAGCTTTTTCAAAAAGTTCTTGAAAGCCACTTAACTGTGTTGGAGCACCTTTGTGTTTTCTTTCTGTTGCCTGAACAGAAATGCAATGCACAGGAGACATATAGTAGTGTCTCCCTATAATTTTACACACATATACATGCACTTTTCTGTTTATAATTTCCCTCCCCATCTCTTTGCCCTACACCTTATAATAAGCTCATTCATTTGTAACTCTACTGGGCAGCCTGATGTTTTCAGAGTAAAATTAGTGCAGTGGCTTTCCCCAGTAAAAAGAGGTAGCTTGGCAGGGGTATTCCGAGAGAGGAAAGCAAACTAGTCAGGGAATACAATACTAGAAATGTAAGCCCAGTGAACAGCACTGACTCCTTTAGAGAAATGTTTGCTGTCTGGATGTCCCCAGCCTCTTAGCCAAGCGATGGATCAAGCCTGCAGTCCTTTAGATAAAAAGATATAAGAATGCTCTGTCTCCGAATAAACAGACACTTTGTAAGGAGAGAAAAACTGGTCTGAAGAGAATTTCTCAGGCGCTTTGATCGTCTGATTGCACAAACATCGCCTCGTCAATTTTTCTCACAATCTGAGAGAGGAAGTGGCATGAATAGGAATGTGTTTGGAGCTGGAGGGTGGGGCCAGGAGGGAGAGAGACGCTTCCCCGCCACCCGAAGAGGGAGAGGCAAGAAAAGCTTCGCGGGGAACCTGCTGCGCCGTCCCTCCGCGCGTCCCTCTCCCGGCGGAACCCTGCCCCCGGGGCAGCGCAGGGCCCACACCGCAGGAGGCGGCGGGTAGCGTGCGCTCCGGCACCGCTGGGGGCGAAAAGCGCAATTCCTCGTCTCTGGCAGGAGAGGACACCGTCATCCGCGCGGCGGACCATCTCTGGCACCAGACCCAAGACAGCCTTCTCCGGTGTCTACGCGCGGCCGCCTGCGCGCACACATTCCCGCCTCCGCGCGCCGCTCCCACGCCCCGGGCCCCGTGCCTGCGACGCGCCGGATCCGCCTCCCGGGGCTGGAGCTAGAGGGTCCTCCGCGGCGTCTTTAAGGCTGCGGTCCCCGCCCCTCCCTCTTTCCCGCCCTCCCCCGCCCGTCCTCCTCCCTGTCGCCTCGGCTCCTCCCGACCTCCCCTGGAGCCGGGCTGCCGGGCGTGCGCGGCGCGCGGAGCAGGTGCGGGCGAGCCCCTCGCATGCCGCTGCCCGGCCGGAGGTGGTAGCGGCGCCGGGCGCGCTCCGCCCGCCCCTCCTCCGGGCAGCACTCGGGCTCTGGCGCGCGCGGGGACATGTCGGTGGCGACGGGCAGCAGCGAGGCGGCCGGTGGGGCCGGCGGCGGCGGCGGCGCGCGGGTTTTCTTCCAGAGTCCCCGGGGCGGCGCCGGCGGCAGCCCGGGCTCGAGCAGTGGCTCAGGCTCCTCCCGGGAGGACTCGGCGCCGGTGGCCACGGCGACCGCGGCGGGGCAGGTTCAGCAGCAGCAGCAGCAGCGACGCCACCAGCAGGGAAAAGTGACAGTGAAATACGATCGCAAGGAGCTTCGGAAGCGGCTCGTGCTGGAGGAGTGGATCGTGGAGCAGCTGGGTCAGCTGTATGGCTGCGAGGTACCTGAGCGCGGGGCCGGGAGGGTCGTGGGCCTCCCTCGCCGCACCGTGCCCACACAGGAATTCTCTGTCCCTGGGCCCCTGACTCCCCGGGACCCAGCTCTGGGAGCGAGGCGCAGGGCGTGCTCTCTCCTGGGTGCCCTCTGGCGCCGGGGCGCGACAGTTGGGACGCCTCTGCCTGGGTCCAGATGCCGGGTGCCCGCAGAGGTGCGGGCCCCTTGGATGGCAGTAGGAGGGATGGGTTTTGCTAAGCACATTGCTTTTCTCGGAGCCGGGGGGCGCTTTTAGGCTCCAGCGGTAGCTCCACGCAGCGGGGCTCAGAAGGGCTCACGCCAGCTGCGCCTAACCCCACAAGAACAGTTCTTACTGCTGAGATCCTAGCAATCCCGGTTTCTGTGGAGAGGGAGCAGGGAAGGGACCTGAAAGCTGCTTATCGGAGAGGACACGTTCTGGGGATCCCAGAGGACCCCTTGGTTCCTGAAATTCGACATCAAAATCAGGAGATGAACGCTTTCCCTTTTGCAGCCAGCCCCGACGCGCGTTCCCATAATTTATCCTTGCATTTCCCCAAGCCGCACACGTTGGGCTTTGTTGAAGCAGATTTTAACCCCCTTGGTCGAGCTCGGTTACGGTTACTCCCATTGATGGGAGCCGAGTGAGAGCATTTGGCAACCTGGAAAGGTGCCTGGATGAAAGGAAGGTAGCTCTGCGGGTGGTTTGCGCGATGCTCGGAATCCACCAGCTTCCCTCCGCGAAGACCCTGTGACTTCTTAGGGTTTGGGGTCTAAGGTTCACACCCGAGTCCGAAGGCTGCAGAGATGCCTGGTGTTAGGAGGAAGATTTAGAATAAGCTGTAGCAGACGTCTGCTAGAAAAATGCCTGAAGCCAAAATGATTGCCCAGGAGAGTCTTTAATAACAGCGATTCTGAATGAAGTATTGTACTTCTCTTAAGGGTGTGGAGTTCGGGAACGGTGGGAGAATGGAGGGAATTAATAATTAACGAGACGGCTTCTCAGTTAAAGCAGGTTTGTGTCCATAGGGATGTTAACGCTGTTCAGCAGGAAAAAAAATGAGAGCCAGATGAACTCATTGGCTTTTCTCACATTTTATGGCCTATTGTGAACACATCCTTTCCTTCACGTTCTCATGGCAGGAGGCAACAGCATCCTCATTAGGGACTACTGATGAATGATTAGCATATAATGAAGCTTGACTATATGACTAATGGGCTTGTAAAAATATATTTTTTCTCCAGCCTGGCTCTTACAAAAAGCCATCTTAATTGCGTAAATAAAAACTGGCCAACACAGGAAGTGTTTCTGGGATTGATTTTTTTTTAATTTTTAAATTTTTTTTTTTTTTTTTTTGTAGGAAGTTGGCAAAAGTCTTGCAAGAAACACTATTTGATTTAGATGGGATGACTGTTGGGTGGATGGATGTGCTCGGTCTTGCCTCTGTAGAATCCAGTTAATTTTCATTTATTTCATACTGACCTTTATACTCCATTTTGGATTTGGGGAAGATTTAATAGAAATACTGCTGTTGAAATTCACAGTGCTTGAGCAGCACTCCTTTTAGGGAAGACTAATTAGGGGCAGTCGGGGGGAAGCTAGAGAGTTCCGGCCTTAGCAGATTGGCAAATCAAAAATCTTAAAAATTCTTCAGAATAATTGGGGGGGGTGGTGGATTAGATGTTCACTGTATTGAATGTGTAGGTTAAAAATATATTGGAAAGGGTAAACATGACCTTGAATCTTTTCCTCCTACATTTTGTTTCCCGTTTTAGACCTTCTGACCTACAGCGAACTAGAGATTTGAGAGGGGGCTCTCTCTGTGCTGTCAGTGTGTCATTACAGTGTGGCAAGTGTTCTCTTCAAGTTGTTTGCTCTATCACTGTAGGTTGAAGGAATATTGGTCATTGAGAAGGTTGTTGGCAGTTTGTAATTAATTACCAAGCTGACAATACAGCTTCCCTTAATGACAAAAAGCATGTGGGCTCCTAAGTAGACATATAAAGAATTGTTTTCTTCCCTCTATTTCTGCACTGGTGGGGCTCTATTTTTAGCTTAGTTTCTCTGGTCTGACAGCCTTTCCTTGCTGATGGCTTCAAGCTTCAAGTATGTCAGCCTCTGCTCTTAATCGAGAGGGACCGTCCCTGGCTAATAGCTCTGAATTTCGTGAATACAGAGGGGAGGGACTGTCCCTTTTACACTTAAAATTGGTAATGTTGTCAAATTTTCATTGCATGCAATTGACACAGAAAGCGAATTTGCCAGACTTCAAACTGGCCAGAGGCCTGAGCTTTCTGCCAAGCTGGGGGAGATGATGAACCCCTATTTAATTTCAGAAGAACGTCTATCAGGCCGGTCAGCAGTTGGAAGACTTGTCCTTTTCGAAATAGAAAGTAGTGATCTTTTGGAGAGGCGTAAAGCACGATATTTAAAATCAGGAGTGGGAAGAAAGAAATACACAGAACACCTTCCTGGCTGTGGTCTTAGTTCGAAGTTTGCAGTAACCAGTCAATTCTGTGCGGAGAAAAATCTAAAGACGGCATGCGCAGAGTGCTTATTAGGCACTGCTCTCGACACTGTGTGCGGACTAATTGATCTAAGTCTTTACAACAACCCTATGAAGAGGGTGCTGTTGTCTGTTTTATAGACGAGGAAACTGAGACACAGAGTAAGCGGGTCTGCCAAGCCCGCAGAGCTGGTGAATGGCAGGGCACGGGGATGGCAGTATGAACCCACCGGCTAAGCACCAGGCCTGCCTCTTAAGTTCGCAGGGGCCCAGGCGGAGAGAACAGATGGAGGCTCTCATAGCAGAGGTCTACTTATTTAGAGATAATGCAGTTGTAACAAGCATGATATAAAATTTACTCTGTCTGCCTACTTTGACAGTGATATCTCCATAGTGGCCTGGAAGGCTAAGTTTGAATTTTGAATTCTCAGACTTCCCAGGGCTCACAGCTGGCATGCAGCTGGAGAACCCCCAGGCCTTGGGCCTGCTTTCTTTTCTTCCCGTGGTACAGTCTCACCTGGTGAAGAGCATTGTGTCCACTCCCATACCCACTCTCTGTCTATACCCTCTGTCCCTCTTCGTCATACCTTTGGCTCAGACCAGGGGTGGCAAAGGCCCCCTTGGAGGGACAGATCCAGGAGGAGCCTGCTCATGCCCTGGAAATGGCTTGGTATTGGATCAGGAAACTCTGGGGAGCTGTAGTGAGGCCTGAAATGAGAGGGGCAGCACTTCTGGGTGGGGGGGTCCAGTGGGTCCTGGGAACTCTGCAGGGGAAAGGGTGTGGGGGGATTAGGGCCCAGGATCATGGCCCTTCCTACCCAGTGTAAGGGCAGTATTGCGGCACACCACATCAAACAGGCTTTTGGATATATAGAGAAGTGTTTTTCTAAGTTCTGAAGTGCTTAGTTATGTTTATAGTTATTTTCCATTTCATCTTCTTGTACAGATAGTTAAATTTTCCAGCCAGGGATTTGGTTATAATGGAACTGTTAGAGGATGGATCTGCAGCCACATTGAAGGATTTCTGTTTTGAGACATTTTCATATCTCGTCCAAACCCAGACAGTTTTTAAGAACATTTGAAATCTGGCACTGCATTTCCTTTGACAAGTATTGCAAGATGGGTAAGTCATAATCATTTTTTCTCATCTTGCCCAGCATCCAGATAACATCTGTACTTCCAGTGTTGCAATTTGGTTTGCTTTGGAAATAAAAGCCTGTTGTTAACCTCAGATTATTGCAATTCCTGTAGCAGCTTCCCGTAAACAGACTTGTGCACAGAGGGCATTTCCTGGGTTACCCTGACGGTCCACTTAGGCTTTCCCTTTGCTGCAGCTGTCTGCATTTTATTATTTTTTATTTTCAAAGATTTTATTTACTCATTGGAGAGAGAGAGAGAGAGAGAGACAGCGAGAGAGGGGAGCACAAGCAGGTGGAGTTGGAGAGGGAGAAGCAGGCTTCCTGCCAAGCAGGGGGCCCAAGGCAGGGCTGGATCCCAGGACCCCGGGATCATGATCTGAGCCAAGGGCAGACGCTGCACGACTGAGCCACCCGGCGCCCAAGATGTCTGCATTTTAAAATGTGGTTCCTGTCATGTTCTACCTTTGCCTATTCCCTGACTCCCTGTCATTGTTCGTTCTGTAAATCAGTGTTTTTCCAAATGTTTTGATGGTGACCCTAGAAAGAAATACCCTTCAGACTTCTGCCTGACACACGGGCACATGGATGTATGAAAGACACGTGGATTCACAAAGCACCGCTCAATATTACCGTGGATGCTAGAGAAAAAATGACAAGCGTCATGCAAAATAGGACTTTATTCATGTTTAAATACAATATTCTGTTCTATTTCTTTTTCCAGAATTGCTGGTTGTGACTCTCTAAGTTGATTTTAGGGGCACCTGGGTGCCTCAGTCAGTTGAGTGTCTGATGCCTGATTTTGGCTCAGGTCAGGATCTCAAGGTTGTGAGATCGAGCCCCACCTCCTACTCTGTGGGGCATGGAGCCTGCTTAAGATTCTCTCTCTCCCTCTCCCTGCCAGCTCATGCTCTTTTTCTCTCAACAAAATAAGTTAATTTAAAAAAATAAATAGATTCCATAACATTTTTGGACAGTGGCATGCAGTTTTAAAAATACTCCTTGAGGGGCACCTGGGTAGCTCAGTCAGTTAAGCATTCGACTCTCGATTCCAGCTCAGGGCATGATCTCGGGGTGGTGAGATCGAGCCCCGCGTCAGGCTGCAGGCCCAGCAGGGAGTCTGCCTGAGATTCTCCCTCTCTCCCCCTTTGTCCCTCTCCCCCTCTGTCTCTCTAGAATAAATAAATAAATCTTAAAAAAAATACTCCTCCAGAAAGAAAAACCTGAACATATGTAATAGAATTAGCTGGTGTTTATTAAATGCTCTCAACGCATCAAGTATGGTTCATGTAGTCCTAGTCACAATTTCCGATATTCTCATTTTGTGGGTATAGAAACTGAGTCAT